GTTTAGGCTTTAGGGTTCAGGGTGCAGATACACGGACCCTGAGAGCCGTGCAAGCCGATGGCCAGTCGAAATCCTATGAAGCATGATCTACAGTTATAAACCAGCTCTATCAACACGCACCAATCCAACCAAGGCAAAGGAAAAACCCTAAACCCTAAACCCCAAACCCATGAACCCTAAACCGTACCCAAACCCTAAACTGTAATATGCCAACCCGAGCTCGAGTTAACATGCAGAAAATGCAAATATCGAATAACAACTAACAGCGAAAAGCCAAACAGACCAAGCAGTAGGTAGCAACAACGAAACAAGAAGAAGAGCAAGCGTAGTCATATGAACCACACTAAGAGCAACTATACTAAGAACACTTATTTCAAGTTAGGATGATGATAAACATGAAAATCTAAACAATCATCAAAACAATAATAATAAGAATACTAATAATAATGAGAATCATGGCAAGAAGAAGAAGGCGAATAACAGAGCATTAGCAGAAACCCTGGCCTGCCAGAGGCCGCTGGCGGCCAGGAACTGGAGCTTGGCATCCTGGATTCTTACAGTGAACCCCAGAAATTTGGAACATGGGTTTAGGATTTAGGGTTTACGGTTTAGGGTTAGGGTTTAGGGTTTAAGTTGGAACATGGGTTTAGGATGATTAGCGCTAGGATCCCTTATACTTTACCTTACGGGCACGAGGATGATGATGTTCCAACTGTCGGGTTTCTACTGTAAAGTTCCCTTGCCCTAGGCCTTCGCGTTTAGGGATTTGGGGGTGACCGGGTTACGGATTAAGAGACTTAGAGAATTTTTGGGACTTTTAGGCCTTCGGGAATGTAGTGCTTAGGGTTTAAGAAATGGGTGGTTGTCAAAATTATGGTCCCCTTTTTGGGGTCCTTCTTATAATACGGCACCTATTATGTAGGGTACCCCAAAAGGGACCATAATTTTGACAACTACCCAAACCCTAAACCCTAAACCCTAAACCCTAAACCCTAAATGTTAAGCCTTCATTGTTTATCATGGTATGAGTCTCTACGCCCCAAACAAAGCGTAAACCCTAAACTCCTAAAGCTCCAAAGAAGGAGTCTGTGCACAGATATCGGCTTCATGGGCTAGGGTTTAGGGTTTAGGGTTTAGGGTTTAGGGTTTAGGGTTTAGGCTTGCAGAGTCTACGCTGGTGTTGAGGCTTTAGGGTTTAGGGGTTTAGGGGCCTGTAGGGCTGAGGGAATAGCCCCACTCGACCCAACCCAAAAGCTACCTGGATTGGAGGGACCTCTGCAACTGCGATGCCGAAACCATGGTCTGACTGTACATAAAAGCATAAGTATAAGTATACCTACCAAAACACAGAGAAAAACTAAATATCAATAAAAAAGAAGTAAGTCTAACAATACAAAAAATATCAGTATATATTTTTTTTGGTTCAGTGAGGTTCTACGGAGGGATCTCGAAGGTCTTTGTGTAGAGCAGAGCTTTCGTGTGTACTACCGTAATCGTGATATAGGAACTAACCCTAAGCGTCCATGTACCCAAATGGTAGCCTTAAAGTAGTCCCTATTTGGGTACTTTGGGGCCACAGTATCTACTATTTGGGCACATGGACCCTTAGGGTATAGGGGGTGTGTTACTATGCATGGCCCCAGGCGGTCTCTCAACCCCTAAACCCCTAAACCGTACAAACCCAGATCCCTCGACAGCTAAGCCCGGTAGCCCCTTGAAACAACACCAACGACAAATGACAAAAATCAAAAACAACACACTTGGCTTAGGGAAAGTTCAGGGGTTTAGGAGTTTAGGGTTTAGGGTTTAGGGCCTAGGGTTCTTTCACCACTGCTGCTGCCCGGTAGCATTGACCCAGGCCGCGTCGAAGTCGCCATTGGTCAGGTCAACTCCCACCTCAGCTGCTGGGCGCAAAGTCTTAGAGGGGGTGTTACTTGGAGGTCCAGGGGACTTAGTAAGTAGGTTATAAGTAGAGTTATAAGTACCCTCAATGGAGCTACGCTAATTATAACCTTACTTATAACCGACTTACTAAGTCTTCTGGGCCTCTAAGTATAAGGATTCTATTGTGTCTCATTGTGCTGTCTTGGGTTCCATAGGGTTTGCGTGAGTTTGCCAGAGGCTGTTCAGGGGGCACCAAACCGTGACTGTTTTCGCCTGTGGGTTCTGTATGGACTCTACAAGGGCTTCAGGCTGGTGCTTGCACTTTTTGGGCGGTTGTAAGGATTTCCACGGCAGCTTGAAGTTCTGAACCCCGACCCCCACCCCACCCCCGTCCACTCAGAAAGGACGGTGCAGCGAAATTGAGTTGGGGTTTACGGCTTAGGACCTAAGGTTTCGCCCACTGCAAACTATGCTATCTGCACACCGAGAAGTACAGCTGATCAAACGCACCAGCTCATGTCAGTGTCCTAAACTAGCGGGTTCGTTCAAGCATAGGGCTTCAACCCCTCTGACCAATATTGGCAAACTTGGTCCTCTTAAGCCTAAACAAGCCAACTGTCAGTGTCCCAATCAACCCTAAACCCTAAACCCTAAGCCCTAAACCTCAAAACCCAAAACCCTAAACCCTAAACCCTAAAACCCTAAAACCCTAAACCTCTAAACCCGAAACCCAAAACCCCAAAAAACTCTTCGTTGACGGGCCGTCAGTACTGAAGAAAACCTAAAGGCTCGGCCTTCGGGCAAAGAGCTTACAGCACTTGCTTGGGATCTGAAATTCTGAAGGGCCTTACATTGGGGTTTGGGGTTTAGGGTTTGAGAGTTTAAGGTTTAGGGTCTAGGGTTGTGTACACACCGGCAGAAAGTGTTTGCAGTTTACGGCCTAGGGTTTTCACGGGATCAGGGATTAGGATTTGGTGTTTACGGTGCTTTCGGGCTTTAGGGCTCAAGGCTTAAAGTTTACGCTGAGGGGTGCAGCGTTTCACAGAAAAAGACATCAGTGCAAGTACGAGAGCATTTAGCAGGGGCAGATTGTGAAAACTAGTTCCCAAGCATTCGTAGGTACGAACCGACTTGGGTCCTTCGGTCACTAGCCCTGCTTAAAGTTGACTAGGTCACACCAAAATCGCCCTAAACCCTAAACCTTGAAACCTAAACCCTATAGTAACTTAATTTCAGTTCCTGAACAGCAACCCAGTATATCATGGTGAGATCCTGGTTGAACAGCCCTGCCGATGGACTTCTTATTGTCGGAGGCTCTATCCGTCCGGGCTTGAGGCACGTTGGAGGCCAGGGCATCAACGCTCTGCACAAAAAGAAGCCGAGAGACGCGAACTCGTCGCACGCGCACCTGGCAGAGAGAGACCCCTCCCCCTGAAACTCAAAATAATCTCAAGTAGCTGAAGACAGGTGCGAACATAGCAGATCCAACCAATACATAACCCCACACACCTGATCCCGAACCCTTCAGCAGCTTGACCACCAGTCGATGATTTGAGAGTACGGTTCCACTTAAGGCAACGGAACACACAGTCGCTTAAACCACAAGGTAAAGCCTGCAAAGCCAATGTAGGAACCCTAAAATACATTTAATCTTGCTCACTATCCTAAGCCGAAAGAAAAGCTTCCCCCAAACCCTTGATTTAAGCCCCAAAAGTCTAACACTTGTCTACTTACTAACCGTTATACAATCCTTCAGGGAAAGGCCGCGATATTCTAGCACCCCTATGTTGACTCTTACAGAGTCCCCCAGGAAACCCCTAAAGGACCCTTTAAAGGAGCCCCGAAAATGAGCCCTTCGAAGAACCCCTTTAAAGGGAAACCTTTAAGGGAACCCTCTAGGGGAACCCTTCAAGCGAACTCTTTAAAAGAAACGTGCAAAAGGAATCTTTCAGTCTCCTTCCAAGCCATGGCACTGGCTGCGAAAAGGTGGCCACAATCGAAGCTTCCTTCACCACAGAGAGTCCCTAAAACCCTAAACCCTAAACCTCTAAACCCCTAAACCCTAACTATTCATGTAGGGGCCTTCATAATTAGAATGGGGGGGTATATTATACTATAACTATAATGCGGAACCGTATCCAGGCCCTGTATTATGGATTTCAGCTTAAGGGCTTACGGCTTGAAGGCGTAGATACTACCACTATGCATTTAGGCTCCTTATAACTATCCGAACTTGAGTAACCCTAAGGGTCCAGGTACCCAAATGGTAGATACTTTGGCCTTAAAGTAGTTCCTATTTGGGTACTTTGGGGCCAAAGTATCTACTATTTGGGTACATGGATCCTTAGGGGCAACATGGGTGCATGGTCGGAGGGTTTGGGAGTTTGTCTTTGGAATTCGCAAGTTCTTCTTTTGAGGTCAGGCGAAACTCTGACAAATCCCAGGCAACTCGAAACCCGATAAAATGCAGAGCAAACTACCTGTCCCTAAGGGTCCATGTACTCATATAGCACATACATGGGCCATGGGCCCTAAAGTAGTTATATAGGGACTACATTAAGGCCAGTGTATATACTATATGAGTACATGGACCCTTAGGGCCTGTTGATTCGAACCTCTAGGAAACGCTTCTTCCACACAGGATGAAGCCTTTCCATGCCCATCGAAACCCTTTCCAACCCTCGTAACAGAAACTCGTCACAACCCGAGGAGAAAGACCATTAACAAATGACAACTCCAAAAGGCTCAACCTTGTGAAAGCTACAGAAAACCTTAAAAAAGCCAAACCACAAACCGATCGAAGGCCACGCACAAAGAGGTGGTAAAAAGTGAGCCTCGATTAGCGGCTTTGGACTAGGGGGTCGGTGTGCTGCAATATTTTACATACTTTGGCCCCAAACTACCTATGTAGGGACGACTGCTTCACAGGCAAAGTATGTATGTATGTATGTATGTATGTATGTATGTATGTATGTATGTATGTATGTATATATATATATATATATCGTATACATATTCCTTGGGCACATGGAGCCCTAAAGCCCGGACCCTAAACTCCGAAGCACTCATTAGAACCCTTATAGTCGCCCTCAAAGGATGCCCTTTTTAAGGTTACATGGACCTTCAGGGCTTGCAGAGACCACCCAAACCCTAAGCCCTGGATGACGGCTTTGGCCAAGCTTCGGAGCAGCCGGAGCTGCCACAGGCGCCTTTTTGTACGGCAGTCTGTCCCTAAACCCGACACCCTAAACCGAGTCTGTGGGGCTCTTTTACTACTTACGGTTCTTTGAGGGTTCTATGCGGGTTTAGGCTTCTACAAGGAGTTGTCCTGGGCTCTGCAAGGGTTTAGGGTGGAGAGTTTCCAGGTCCACGTTCCGTTCTCATGGGCATTGTAGCGTGTCAACGTTTAGAGCTTGTAGTAAGGCATCAAAATGGTCAGGGATGAGCGGTTAAAGGCGTGCCCTTGCAACCTGCACTGTAATTTCCAAGCCCCAAGATTTGCAGGTTGTCAGGTTTGAGTGGAGTTTCGCATGTTGTATCGTTGGAGACAAGACGAGTCAGGAAGCTTAGGTTGTTGGTCCAGAGTTAGTGCTCCGAGCAGGTGCAAGACAAACAATCGTAAAAGGAGTTCGGCGACAATGGCTCGGCCGACCAGATCGCTCGCAAGCGAAAGTGTTCGTAAGAGATTGCCATGTCCGGGTCGGCGCCCAGGTGAAGGTTCTCATGTTCACCCTGGGTCAGGAGAATCAACAATTTCGGTTATCAGCTATATTAGTTGTTCTCTAAATTAGGGTCCCTGTTTAGGTCCTGAATATAGTACGGCACCCTTATAAAATGGCCATATTGGAGTATTGGGCGTACAGAAAAGACATTGGCAGGGCAGGATGAGCAGTGTATGCTTAACTGGTGACGGCATTCGATGCAATAGCCGTTGCTTCCGACGACTTTGTCCATGATCAAATTGACGAGGTGTGTGGCTGCGCGAACCATTCTGAAATGACCATCATTGCTTGCTGAGGCATCCCATGTGACTTGCAAGTGGTCCGTCATTCTCGCGACACTACAAGAAAGCTTTGTAAAGCCCTACATGACCCTTATAGTTGGAGCCGTGTCGTCACCCCAATTTCGGCAGTCTTGCTGGGTCGAGCCTCCATGGATTCTAGATTCCGTGGCTATTGCTTGTGTGGGCCTAGGATCGTAGGGGCAAAAGCCAGTCGACTATGGGGGGGTGCGGGCCCAGCAAGGATATCAATCCAAGAAGCTTCTTCAGATGCTGTTTAAGGTTTCCTATCTTACTTACGCTCCAGGGCTTCATAAGGGCCTCGGGCTCGCGGTTTACGCAATCGTGCGAAAGGGCAAAACCTTTGCAAGAGAGCCATCTGTTTTTCACCCTGCATGAACCACTAGCCCGCAAATCATGCGAAGATGCCCTACTGGTATAAAACCCTTTGTACTACCGCAATACACGGCATCGGCATACTCCGGATAAATAGTGTTGTATCAGGACCCCTTTTTCCCTCAGACGGACTCCTTTCATTTTGCGAATCCTCCACATAATTTGCAAAGCATGCACACCCTCAAAAAAAAGACCCCAAACCCTAAAAGCCTCCAGCCGTAACCTCCGCAAAACCGCGAAACCCTATGAGCCCTCTCCCAGCTAACCCCTCAGGACCTGCTCCGGATGACAGGTCTGCAGATGTCAATGCCTTCATCGCAGAATGGCTACATTGGGGAGTTGTCAAAAATTATGGTCCCTTTTGGGGTACCCGAAATAATAGGTGCCGTATTATAATAGGACCCCCAAAAAGGGACCATAATTTTCCCTAACCTCCCAGGTACCTACTATATAGGGCCTTAGGGGCCCTGGTACCCTATATAGTAGGTAACTTGGGGGTTAGGGTTTGACAACCACCCACATGAAGCCAAGGCGAAAGGCGAGTGGAGTGGGGGCGGCATGACAGGGGGTCGTACGAAACGTTTATGCGGGGGTTTCCTGAAGTTCTTTCGTGGGTTTACAGAACTAGGGTGGGTTGTAGTTACAGTCTTCAGAAGAGTTGTACTACAGGGGTTGCAGGGATGTGTTTAGGGTTTAAGGTTTAGGGTTTAGGGTTTAGGGTTTAGGCCTAAACCCTAAACCCTAAACCATAAACCGTTGCAAGTGCTGATAAGAGACCAGGAGCTCGGGTTCTGAACGTAGAAGGCTGAACGATTGGGCCTCTAACCGTTAGACTCTAACCCTGGAGCCTCTTATGTAGGGGCCTGAATAATTAGATTAGGGATTTGGGGTATACGATACTATATATCATAAGAAGGAGCCCCAAAAAAGGTATAGGTAATTGTTACCATAGGCCCCAAAGTAGTTCCTTTTCGGGGTTCATATTCAGAATCCTATCAGGTAATCCCAAAAAGGAACTACTATGGGGCCTATGGGTAAGGCCCCTGTATTACACCAGCTGCATCTCGTGCTTACGGACAGTTGTACTAGTATCTGGAAGCACGAAGCACCTGCCATCACCGGAGCTTCTACTTGTGGATCCAAATAACATACTGGCTTAATGGCCACGCCCCTGATTCAGGGGTCAGAACCCCTAAACCCTAAACCCGAAACCCTAAACCAACCATTTTTGAGAGCTTAGAGCTTGCAGGTCTTCCTGTTGGGATTTCAGGGCTTGGGTTTAGGGTTTAGGGTTTAGGGGGATATGTGGTTAGTTCAGCTTCCTTGGTTTCGTCGTCAGCCTGTGAACCAGACCTTGTTATCCTGAATTACAAAGGCCGAGGTGATGGCTTATGTGGAACCCCGCCCCCTCTAGGAACCCTTATAAATGAAGGCTTTTAGCCTGCTACTGCGCGCTTTGGGGTCAGAGGTTTTGCGATTTGAAGCTACCAGGTGGGGCGCGGTGACACCGCCGTTCTGGCAAGACTGCAACTTCAGCCCGAATTAGGCTTGGATTCCACACAAGACTACGGCGAATAAGGCTGTCAAGTTTTTAGCAGAACGGTATCAGAAACGAAGCTTCAACAACCATGGGGAAACCAGCAATCCGACCTTCACAGCCCGACGCGCCAAAAAAAAACGACCGGCCTCGTAAGTGTTCTCCAGGCCATTGTCCTTGCAGGTGTTGGATCTAACAACTCGGAACCCTGAACCCTAAACCCTGAACTATGGTGGCGGCCCGAATAGTCAAGGCCCTATACCTTAACAACCCAAAACCCACTTTTTTGTAGGTTCTTATTGTAATCTCTAATATGGGAGTTATAGGGACCCTACAAAAAAGTAGGTTTTGGGTTCTTAAGGTAAACCCTAAACCCAGTTTCTGACTACCGAAAGCCCGCTGTGGTTCAGGCTTCGTGTCGAAATTCGCACGAACCCGGCTGACCACTTCTCAGAAATTAAATTCTACCTATAGTCTCCATTGTAGCTCCTTTTGGGGGTTCCTTACAAGGGTTCCTTATAAAAGGGATCTATAAGTATATAAGGGTTTCTGTAGGGCTTAGGGTGTTTTAGGGTTTAGGGTTTGCCCATAGTCTCCATTGTAGTCGGAGGTTCAGGGTACGTACTGTTGATGATATAAATCCTGCATCACCTTAAGGACCCTGAAAATGGCAAATCTGGTTCTTTTCCGTTTCTTGGTAATGCAGGATTTATATCATCAACCGTATGACCGAGTTGCTGTTCTACTTTAGGCTTCTGATACAGCCAGAGTGGAAGTCTGGTCACACGAGGCCTAGGTGGGTACTAGATGTCCTGACTCTAAGTTTGAAAACCATGGGACCCTAGTATGGGCCCTTAAGCCCGGGATCCTTATATACCTACTGTATACCCTATATGTACACCCTAAACCCTAAACCCTGAAGGGTCCCTAGAAACCACTAAGGGCGCATATTAGGGGCCCATACTTCTAACCTTCGACCTAACAGTCCCTAAGCCCTACCTGGCCCTGTCTCGACCCTGAGCCGCAGTACGCTGTCTTGCTTTGGTGTTTAGGGTTTAGGGTTTAGGGTTCAGGGTTTGGGGTTTAGGGTAGAAAGCCGAAGCTTTATTGGAATGTATAGGTAAAGGCTGCGAGCAGACCAAAACCTTCATGCAAGCTAAGAAAGGTGCCTGAATGCTTTTCAAAGAGTTCGGCGGTATATTCTATGTAGTGGAAATCAAGGCGTACAGAAATTATGGGCTATAGCGAGGCTGCATTTCAGCGGCTAATTAAGCACACCTCTGTGTTACGTCGACATCCCACTCGCCCTGAACCACTTATCTGAAGAGCTTGAAACTCGGAACCCACAGAAAGGTTATCCTACATTGACATACCAGTCCAGGTGCTAGGAAACCACAATTTGCTGGTCATGTGCTGTGTTTTCCGAGGCGTCATGAATATTGCGACATTCGCATTCCACTCGAGAGCATGACCGTCAGGAGTCTTGAAAAGCTAGAAACGGTTCATGTCTCCATAACTCGTAAGTAATGAATTCCACACACCTGAGCCCTGCACGAAGCTACTCATCTGTGCGGGGTTTCCAACACAAGCAAGCACTCAGGGGCTGAGTACCCTGGCCCAAAAAAGGTTAACCTCTTCAGTTATGGTAGGGTTATATAAACCTCAAAAGGTTAAAGGTTACCTGCTCAGCTACTAAGAACATGTTCCTCCACTCGTTGTTGTACGATCCGTCTCTCATACCAGTTCCGATTCGAGAGTCTCACAGACCCTAAACCCTGAACACTCCTGTACCCTAAAAAATAGGCCCTTACACCTCTAGGCGTACCGCAGGCTCAAACCCTCGACCCCTAGTGAAACCCTAAATCAGCTACAAACTTCACCAGACCCTCCATCTACACTCTATTTGACCCTAAGCACCCGCTTTTTGGGCCATATACCCCAACTTTGAGGGTACAAGGAAGGTCCTGGCAATCTTAAATTCTAAATCCCAAGACTCCAAATCTCAAGCCACCCCAAACCCTAAACCCTACAAACCACAAAGCCCCAAACTCTACATCCCGCCGTATGCAAAACAACCCAAATCCTAAACCTCGCCTGCAATGCCCCTAAAGATTCCGTATAGCCCTACACGGTTGGTTTCAGGTTTCCCTAAACCCTAAACCCTAAACCGAAAACCCCAAAATGGTACCCTTATAGAAACAAAAGCATCACCGGAATGCTCCAAGGCACGGCTTGCGGTAACACGGAAAGCTCCCATCGAAGGCCTTTGGCCGCGGAGGGCAGCAACCTCATCGCGCCCAGGGCTTTAGGATTTTCACAAGGATTTAGAGTATTTCGAAGCGCCTTTGAGTTGATGGTTCAGGAGGTTTAGGGTTTAGGGTTTAGGGTATAGGGATTTTTAGGGTTCGGGGTTCAAGGTTTAGGGCTCTCTTTTGCTCCAGGGCTCGATGGGGCGCGAGAGTGTTGTAATGCTGACGGTTTAGATATTGAGGCTTCCGAAAATTGGGGTACCTTATTTTGGGGTCCTTATAATAAGGATCCTATTATTTAGGGTGCTATATTAGGGTCCCCTATTTTCGGAAACTCCCATATTGAGGCTATAAAGGTTTGGGTTTTGGAGGCCTCGGGCTAAGCACTTACAAGGACCCTCCTCCTACCCTCAGATAGGGGTATATGGTCCCCAATAATGGGTACGTAGGGTGAAATAGTATAGGGTAGATGGAGGGTCTAGGTACATGCTTAAACCCTAAACCCTAAAAACCCTAAAAACCCTAAAACCCTAAAGCCCTAAAGCCCTGAAGCCCTAAAGCCCTAAAGCCCTAAAACCCTAAAACCATAAAAACTCTCAACCCTAAACCCCAAACCCTAAACCCTAAAACCAGTTGTTGAGGCGAAGGCCTTCGGGGCTGGGTTTAGGTTTCACCTCGGTTCGGGCTCAGCGAGACTAGATGGGCTCCAGGTACCCAAGCCTAGAGGATCATACCCTACCCTTTTTTAGGCCACCTTGTCTTATTGTTAGGATCTGCTACCTTAAACAAGGGGTAGAGTATGTATTACCCTAGGCAGAAACCGAAACCCGAACCCCTAAACTCCAAACCTAAAATCCTAAGCTAAATCCCAAACCCTAAACCCTCAACCCTCAACCCTTAAACCCTAAACCCTAAACCCTAAACCCTAAACCCTTAAACCCTCAACCCTTAAAACCCTTAAAGGAACCCTCAAAAAGACCCTAAACCCAAAACCCTAAACCCTAAATCCTAAACCCGAAACCCTGAACCCTTAAAGGAACCCTCAAAAACAGCCCTGGGAGTCCCCTCTCCCGGGAGCCTGTCGTATCCGACCGCCACTTCTCGGAGAACCTCACGGCGAGCTTTGGGACTGTTTAGGGTTTAGGGTTTNNTTTGGGGTTTAGGGGTTTCGGATTTAGGGGTTTGGGGTTTCGGGTTTAGGGGTTTAGGGATTAGGGTTTAGGGTTTAGGGTTTAGGGGTTTAGCGGTTTAGGGGTTTAGGGGTTTAGGGTTTAGGGCTTACGGTTTAGGTGGAATCTACATTGGCCCTATCCTTGCCTTAGGGGCTGAGTACCCTAGCCCAAAAAAGGGCCAACCTTTTCAAATACAGTAGGACTATATGACCCCCAAAAGGTTAAAGGTTACCTACTCAGCCCCTAGTTATGGAGTTTAGGGTTTAGGGCTTAGGGGGTTTAATGGCGGGTTTAGAGGTTTGCGGGTTTAGTTCTAAGGTTCGAAGTATGGGCCCCTAATATGGACCCTTAGGGCTTTCTAGGAACCCTTAATTAAGGGTACATATAGGGTATCTATCTAGTACGTGTATAAGGAAATGGAATCCACATTTGGCCTATCCTTCATAGAATTGAGGGTTTAGAGTTTTCATTGAAGGGTTTTGAGTTCAGAGTTTACGGTTGAAGTTTAGTACGAACTCAAATAATGAAAGTAGCAGGTAAATCGCCCTAGCGACCCCAAAGGAAAAGGGTAAAAGGGTATCACCGGGCGCCGGGGCCTAGCATACGCACGATGCAACCTGGGTCTATTCCTCTGTTGACGATACAACACTATCCCATGTACCCAAATAATAGTACATACTTTTGGCCCCAAAGTACCTTAGGGTATGTCATCACACGCCCTAAAAGCTCCTAAATGTTGAGCGCCCATAATGTAGAAGACTTGGTAATTACAATATTATACTACAACTATAATAGGGAACCAAAAATTAGTATAGGTAATGATTTAGGCCCGTATGTTAAACCCCAAGCCCTCAAGGCCCAGACCCTGATTCCTAAAATTCGCTACACCCAGTAGAGGGGCATTCGAATTAGAATGCTGTTCTGGGGTAGTCTTATACTATTTAAACATAAACAAACCCTCAGGGTGCGACCCTTAGAGCAACCCTTATAACATAGCATCCCTCCAGAACCCTTTCAAGAGCCCATGTTTACCTAGTCGGGCTTCTGTTTCAGGTGCCTTTAAGGTCTAAGCCCTAAACCCCCAAAAACCTATAGAATCCCGAAAACACTGACTAGACCCTAATCCTTAATCCCTAATCGCTAAACCCTAAAACCCAAACCCCCAAAGCCCTAAACCCTAATCCCTAGACCCTAAACCCTAAACTCTAATCCCTAAAACCTAGTCCCTAAACCCTAGACCCCTAAAGCCCTAATCCCTAAAACCCTCGGCCCTAGACTCTGTTTTAAGTCCCATGGGGCTCCAGGTTTCGTCCGGATTCTTTCGGGTTGCTCCGAGATTGAAACTAAGAATCTTTTAGGGATCGGGGGTTTATAGGTATTTAGGAGTTTAGGGTTTAGGGATTGGGAGTTTGGTGTTTAGGGATTAGGAGTGTAGGGTTTAGGGATTAGGAGTGTAGGGTTAGGGATTAAGGGTTTAGGGCTTCGGGATTAGGAGTTTAGGGCTTCGGGTTCAGTGGGATGTAGGGCTGTTGAGACTTTGCTCCTCTGGGTTAACGGCTACATGGGCTTTAGGCCTTCGGGTTTTCGGGTTTAGGGTTTAAGGCCCCAGACCATCATGAACGCCCGAATAGCACCTTTGCAAAAGGAGGGTGATCTCAATCGTCGAGACAGATGCTTCACTCTTTGCAATCTCTCTTTCGACCACCACGGGCTCAGTCGGCATGATGCCGAGGTTAAAGAACTCGTGTAGGCTCCTACGTCAGCGAGTACACGAGAGTGTCAGACAGGCGGAGACTAAAGCGAATAAAGGATGCTTAAGATACTACAAACCAGAATCTATTTGTCGAAGCCTCGGCGTTGGTGCTGCTGGTGCAAGCGGGCCTTGTCCAGGTGGTGTCAGGCGGCCGCAATTTCGAGCGGTCCGTGTTCTGGTGGCGGCAAAGACACATCCGGGGCTGCAGATGCAAGGGCTGGTTCTTCAGAGGGCAATGGTTTAGGGTTTAGGGTTTAGGGGCAAGGTTCGAATGCTCGCCATTTTCACGAGCTCCCTTTTCCCGATGACCACTGTCGGTGGGGAATGGAGGATGGTGCTGCAAACGGTCCTTCTGATGTAGCCACGGGGGCCACGAAGGCTGCTGGAGCAAGGGCGGCTGTCGGTTGTAGCAGTCCAAAATGCGACGTAGCGTCTGCCACGAATGTGGGGCCTTAATAATGCTTAGAATAGGGTGTTGGGGTATATT